CTCCTCCGCCCGCGGCGGCGGGGAAACGCGCGGCTAGAAAACGTGTGAATGGCCAGCACGGGAATCCCCGCAACGCGCTCCAGTGGGCAACGCTCCAGAACAGGCAGTAAAAAACGGTTGTTACAGCCTGAAAACGCAAAGAGGAAAAAGCGAGCGAAAAGATGTATGGGCTTCTTAAACTTTTTAAATGTTTAAAAAGATACATGCACTTTTTAAACGAAATGCACCAAGTGCAGTTCTTTCGGGGCTACACCTGCCCATGGCCCCAGTTAAACAGTTGTGCCATGAAAGATGTGAATTGTTTCCCTTCGGGAAGAATTAATCCTATATTCCAATAAAATGAAAAATATTTCAGGGACACTGATGCATTCTGCGATTTTTCCTGGACTCTTGCTGTTTCTTAAATGTGTCTGGGTGCTGCCTGCACCCGCTCGCAGATGCTCGTGCACCGTAATTCCGTGATGAGGCTGAGCCTGTACGGTGTCACACATGCAGGTTGTGTGTTCCTGGGTTTGTGTTTTGTGGTTTGCCCTGTTTTTCATGCCTGCATGTCTTTAAACTCAGTCTTGCCATCAGCCACTTGCCAGTCTTTAAATTTTCAGTCTTGGCATCAGCCACTTCTTAATTCATTTTGCCTATACCTTGCTCGGTCACACCAAACTCCAAAATGTATTTTGGGTAAGTTAGGCCTGCCATATCTGAAATTCTGCTTTATTATTAACCACTAATCTTGCACACATATTTTTGAAGAGGATGTACATGGGTGTATGTGTATGTCAGCTTATATTGGTTGAGAGAGAAGGACGTCTCTTTTTTGGCTGTTACAAGAGTTTGCAGGCGACCTATTACTAGGTGGTAGTTACTGTTGTTAATTGCTGTGGCCGTTTGTCCCACTGAACCCGGATTTAATGATAAACTTCCTGCCGTGTTCCAGGCAGCTTCTCTCCAGGACCCCATGCTCTGGTAGCAATAGTCCCCCCGATACCTTAGCAGGCAGGAGGTTAGACCTCACATTTGCAGCTGACGGACTCTTTTCTAGTAGAAGAAAAATGAAAATGCTCCCCACGTTAGAGAGTGCCGAGATAACTGGGAATTGATTGGCCTTCCTCACCAGGCATTTCAAGGCTAGGGCAACAAGGTGGAGGATAAGTCCCTGTTTGCACGACCCTTGCTCCGTGTCTCCTTCATTCCGTCAGCCCCCGAGGGAAAACATGCATGGAGGCAAACGTCTATGTTCTTATTAAAAACCAAGACAGCCCAAGCTTCAGTCTGTGTTTGGATCATTTCATTATTACGCAGAAATAGTCCTAAATTACGCAGTGAGCCGGTCGCAAAGGCTCCGAGGGGGTTTAATGTTGCTCCTTGCTGTAACTCCGGGGTGTTAGATGGACCTGCCGCTCGTCTGCCACCCAGTGCGGCTGTTTCCCTGGGCTGCTGGAGAGGAATGTGCCAGCAGGCAGGAGGAGTTAAACCGCACTTCGCTGTGTGAATGCTTGGAGTCGGGCATTACTGAACCCGAGGAGACAGAAGCTGCTGGAGTTGGAGGGAGAATCACGTATTCCTTGTGCCATAACAACTCCTGCTCAGGAATGGAGAGAAAATTAACGACAGTTAATAATTTCCCAAACCTTCGGCAACATGGACTCCCGTCGTGTTGCCTACTGAAACCTTGCAAACTCCTGTTTTGTGGACAAATGTGTTCATTAAATAAAATTTTAAAGCAGTTACTGCAGTGCTTACAACAGAAGATGAATGTGTGGTGAGCTACTCACATCTAGTGGTTAATGAATAAAAACAAAAGAAACCTTAATAATATTTTACAAATATACTGCTCTTTAGAGAAGACAATATGCTAGAAGACAAATGCAAGAATATTTTTCCTAGTTCTCTGAAATTGAATGTAACTCCTCTGTAGGAGTATGTTGTTACAAAATGACTCCTGAAATAAAGCAATACTTGAATAGTCAGATTTTGTTGTTACCGCTTGTGAGACAAATGAAAGAGAGGATGCACTATAGTTCAGAATTATAAAGAAACAAACTTCTTACCCATTCAGGTCAAACTTACCTTCTTTCTTTCTTTCTGGCCAACCTGAAAACAAATGTCGGATTGCTCTTAGGTGCAAAATTCTGCCAGCTCACATTTTATTTAAGGGTATCGCATATATTACAGAAAATATTTGGCCTCTTGCAGTAGCATACTCTGTAGATGAAATTCAAGCTTACTTGGTCAATAACTAAGCTCAAATGTAGATGAAATGAAATTCAAGCTTACTTGGTTAATAACTAAGCTCAAGTTAAATGGGGTCAGGATTTCACCTCTTTTTTTTCTGCCTCCATGGTTTGGAGATGGGCTCCATCTCCTGGAAACCACAGGTAGCGCAAACAGCGTTGTCAACCACCTGCACGTTCTTAACCCGGCAGCAGGATAAAAGCAAGTAAAGCAAAGGGAACATATTTTGAAAAATATTTTCATTCTGAAGTGTGATACTAAAAGGAAGATCATGCTGGAAAACGTTTTCCTCGCTTTCTTCACCTCGCCTTAAAAAACAGTACCACTATGTATATATATGATATATGAAATGTTGAACACACGTGGCAAGGGAGAACTGAATCGCCACAAGAGTTTATAGTTCTCAGCTGGAAAGTAAAGAGCTAACGGATTGTCAGACATGCTTAGAAATTCTGAACCTTTTTCAAGTTCCCAACTCTTAACTGCTCCCTAGAGCTGCTCTCCTAGGGTTGCCGAGTGGCAACCGGTTTCGGCTCCTCTTGGGGTCCAGGTAGAAGACCCCACTGCCCTCAGGAGGCACTAGACCAAGCACAGCCCCAGAGAACTGGAAAATTCAATGGAATAAAACACCCCCTCGCCACTAGACCCCAAATCCCAACATGTTCCGTGTCATATCTGTCATCCCCACCTGTGGCTGTAACTGCTTTCATCCGTGTTTTCTGCATCCTGTGACTCTGCATTTATAGGATAAACGCTTTTTTACTTACCTTATGTTTCACTGAAAAACTTTTAATACTTTAGTTAGGTATTACGTACAGTGAAGGTTATCTCTGGTAGTAGATGGAGCTGCTGCCTTCAGAAAAGAAATGAAGGAAATGCCTTTGAATATATTAGAGAAAGTTCAGATCCAGATATGTGTAGCTGTATTTGTGAACTACTTCTTACAGTAACGAAAGGAGGAAAATATTCTGTACATTGTATTATTTCTTTTTTAAGTGATTTGTGACAACTACTATGCATCCCTTGCCATTTGCACACAGTCAGCTTTTAATTACAAACGAAATTATCATAGAAGTGAGAAGCATCAGAGCAAAATTTTAAAGCTCCTGTAAGAGAACAAACGAACAAACCCATGAACGTTCCGAACGCCCCTGTTGGTCGCAGGTGTTTCTGGAGCGCCCCGCACGGCCCCAACGCCGCGCGCTCCCGAGCGCCCCCGCGGCCTGGCCTGGCGCTCCGCCCGCACCCGCTCCTGGCAACCAGCCGAGCTCCGCGTTCAGGAGCCTCTGGAGCGCGAGCGGCCCCCAGCGGGGCGTCACGGCGCTTATGGGCTACAACGCGCGTTAAACTCATGGGGGTCAGAGAAGGGCTTTTCTCTCCCTTTGCTTGGGACTGTCATTAAGTCGCTTCCTTGCAACTCTGACTCTGCTGTTCATCAAGCAACCTCTCAGCTACGATGCAGGTTTACTTTCAGTGGGCCCTGCAGCTGTAAGCACTGGGTGCCAGGGGAAGAAAGGGGCTGGTCAGAGGAGAGCTTTGCTCCTTACAATATCTGATCCTGAAATGCTATTTTGAGTATTTTTCATTTTGTTTGGTAAAGAAGACATAAGAGAAATTTGAATAGGAAGCAGCGGAGCAATATGAGTTATCAGCATGTATAGAAACATAAAAGTGTAGATATAGTTGTCTCTGTGCCTTAGAACAATCTTCATCAGAGCGAGGGGTTAACTGAGTCTCTGAAAAGGAGTGTGACTGTGATCGGTATCTGGAAGAAAAACATTCAGAAACGCTCCCAGAAAGCTTAGCATTAACCTTTGATACAGGATGTCAAGCAAAGCCTCCTCTTCATTCAGTGCTGAAACTTAGGCAAGCTGCATAGCCTTCCTACAGGATTAACATAATACAGAATCAAAAATACTAGAAGAAAGACTTTAGGAAGAAGCTCTCATAAACATCCTAGCCACAAGAAAATAGAGACAAATATAAAAGGCAAGCATGCCAAATATAAAAGGCAACTATGTAAAAACAGTACCAAGCAAAAGATAAGGGAGAAGATTAACATAGTAATTTCTACCCCTTTGCAAGTCCTTGAGAGCAGCAGAGGAGTACTCGCACCCAAGGCAAAGATAAGGATGAGGGCTTCACCTCCCCGAGCAGAGGAGCCCAAACGGTGCTAGGAAGAGAGGCTGGTACTGCTGAGCTGAGCCAGCGTGCTGGGGTGTGTGAACCAAACATCCAGCCGACTGTGAAAGGTGACATTCATGGCAGTAGCAAAGGGGAAAACAGGTTTTAAATGCATAACATTTGTATGTTTTAAATGCATAACATTTGAGACACATTGAGAAGGTGATTACTAAAGAGGTGAGGACCAGATTAATGGCTTGGGGGTGTTATTCAAAAGCTATGGTCCTCATCAGAGCACCGATGGGTGTCATATCAATCACCTGTCCTTACATGTGCTTAAAACATCCTTACAAAAACCGAACACAGCTCAAATGCTTTAGGGAAATGGTCACCCTTTTAGACTGCTGTTTTGGTATGTCAGTTATTGATGAAGGCAACAGTATCTGTATTGACAGCATTGCTGTGATCTAGGTAAAAATGACAGGCAAGCTGTTGAGAGAGGTTTTATAAGCAGCTTTGGAAAGTAGCTGGCTAGACTTGAACCAAAGCATGAATCCTTGTACGAGGAATAAACTACGAGACATTAACAAGCCCAGGTAGGTAGGTGCCCAATAGTAGGGCTAGCACCACTATCCTTGTATTTAACAAGCAATGAACAATGTGGGGAAATTTTCGTCTGCACTAGCTGCTCACCTTGAATTAAATACTGTGTGGAAGAGCCAGGGAGACAGGGGAAGCAATATTTAAGAATCTGAGAAACTTAGGAAATTAAGGATCCAAAGTTTGAAATGTTTTAACAGAAGTCATAAGACTGAGGTTGTCTGAGGATAACATCAAAGAAGGGGTTATGCATAGGCCTTTTACAAAAATATGATAAACAGTGGTTTATGTATCATTTGCAGTGATTTAATAGGCTGAATCACAGTGGCTTTGATCCTCATTGAGGTGTAAATTTTATTATTTTTTAAAAGTCAGTGTGAACAGAAATTGACTTTAAATCACGTAAGTCTGACAAACACCCTTTAGATATGAGATTATTTTTCAATCTCGGGTGTGTGAAAGAATCATTACCTACATGACACCACCTGCATTTTGGAGATCTTGTAGTCACTCTAAAAGTCACTGTAGAGCATGTGGGTACCCCGGTTCGGTGAGACTGCTGTTCAAAGGCCGTTCCTCAGAGCCACATGCAAGGCCTGCAGGCAGGTTAGCAGGCAGCATCCCTCCATTTCCTCACAGTTCCTTGATGTTGTGGTAGCTGAAGCATCCGGAAAGCACAGACAGATCAGACAAGGTATGTGCAATCATTACAACTTCTAAAATAGATCTCAACAGCTTCATCCTTGGTATGTTAGAAGGATGGACTTACCTGACACTTAAATCCATGTGAACTGATACAGGTAGGACATGAGCCTACAAGCAGGCTGATGTTGTTTATCGAGTAGATGTATTACACACAGGTGTATTTTAGAAGGAACTCATTGTCAGAAATACCAGTTTTCAGACACTGCCACCCTCCTAACATGGATGTGATTTTTGGTGATGGTTGCCTGAAAAGAGCCATCTTACGTATACTGTAAAAACGATCTTCTAGAAATACTCCATATTGCTTTGAATATCTTACCTTAGTGTAAAGTGAAGCTTCCTTGGGAGACCAGGTACTTTGTACGTGAAGACCATTCAGGAAACTAATCTTAATGGAAGCATTTGATACAACAGGCCTGGACAGCGGAGGAAACTGAAGCAGAAGACCTCTGTGACTGACCATGGATAGGTCTCATCATCACTGTACAGAAAAACCAAAACTAGGTGGCATCTCCCCAGAAACACACACTACAGCCATGTATGCAAGCAATGAACTTCACTAACCAGTATCCCATATTGATACGTGTGGCCACAAATCCCCAAAGCAGTGGTAATTTTGGCAGGATGGCTTCCAAGATCTCATTTCATTATCTAGAGGCAATCCTGCAGGATATGCAGGATACGTGTGTGGGCAGGGAGAATCCTGGATTACACTAGTGAAGTTCAGTCTCTGGAGTCACGGAGAACTTTCAGAACTCCAGAAGAACCAAGGCACTGTGAGCTCAGCAGCAACCACAGTTCATTTGAGCAGCTGTCCAATTAAGTAATCAGCAGGAACTAGTTTGTCCAAACTGAGCCAAAGGATAACCATCATTTCTATTACATTTAGTAGCCACTGCTGAAATCTCAGAGGAACAGCATGTAACTGAAAGCCCAAACAGGGATCCTGAGGTGAGGATTCCCTTCAATGATGAACGGGAGGCATTTTGAGCAGACACTTATTGGCAGTGTGGAAACAATGTCTGGAAGGTCAAGAAACATGAATCACAGCCTCCCAAGTGGAGGAGTCTCTCTCCTCATGGTAGCGTTGCTATCATGAACTCAAAAGCTGAGTAAACTGATATACTCCCAAGGCTGGAAATAGCTGCCATCCTCTTTGTTGCTACGAAAAACCTGTTATAAAACAAATAATAGCTACCATTTTGTAGTCAGCAAATAGCAGTTTCCTTCCAAACCACTTCGGGGACGATTCCTGCAAAGGAACAGGATACAGTGGCCAAGAGGAGGCTTGGCTCATATGGACAGCACATCAGTGCTTCAGTTTATGCAGCAGTCTCCTGTCTGCAGTGGTCTGAGTATCAGTGTTGGTTTAGAGCAAAACAGGCTTATACTCCTTGCCTGAACTGGTTAGGGAAAAGCATTGCTATGGAGAAAATGTTGGAAGTTTTCAGAAGTGGATGAACAAATGGGTACAGAGGTGGGAATACACATTTAGATTTGTGGAAGCATCCATCATCCTGATGCTTGATCCTGAAAAAGAGAGCAGAGCAGCAGCTGTGACCACTGGTCCCACTTCCCCCTGAAATGCACACCCCGAATCCGGGAGGGACTGGTGCAAAGACAGGGAAGGTTGACATCCTCCCCAGTTAGGAAGCACATTTGTCCTCACATCTAAAATCATCTAGACTATTCATAAATGGTATGGACAGCCAATTCAGTGAGGATACTCAGTATTTTTGTTCTCCAAAAGAAACAAGTTTAGGGTTGCTGAATGCACTATAACCCATTTGTGTGTTTGGATTTGTATTTGTATACGTATTTGCATGATATCATTCACAAATTTATTGGGGAATTTCAACAGATTGGGCAAAGCTCCTTACTAGACAGAGGAAGTCATTTCTTATTTAGGTAGCAGGCTCCGAGCAGGTAGTGCGGTTTCATCCATGGATGTTTCCAGTAGGGAACGGAAGGAGCTGGAAAACCTCACGGTAGGAACATAATCACTGATTTAGATCAGAGAAAAAGGGCAAAGCCTTTGAGCTTACAATGCAGAAAATTATTTTGTTCTGGTATTCCTGAGAAAATCTAGGCTCGAAGCTAGGAAGTGAAAATCACAGTAACTGCCATCAAGTCTTTCAGCCACTACAGGAATACAGGGATGTGTATGGATGATTCAGGCACCTTCTGTATCTTGCAACAAGCAGCTTTCCATCCATGGAACTTAAGCATACCTTTTTTTACTCTCAACACAGAACATTTCCAAACAGGAACAACAAACTATGCAGAGAGGATAAGTCTGCTTTGTCTTCAGCACCGGACAGCTAAGGAAAGATCGTAACATCACAGGGGAGCCACTGCTGTGTTTATCCTCAATGAGACACAAGAGAAGGTGAGGTACAAACCCACCCCTGCAGGCACTTTGGAGCAGGTCTTCAGGATCAAATACTGTGTCACAAGTGCATTTGCAATGTAGATATATTTGTGTATGTGCTTGAAGGAAAAGTTATTTTCCATTCTTCTATCCTTCAAGAACACACACACACACACACACTCTCCAAAATATCAAATACACTTCACTTTCTAGGTATCTCACAAAAAAAAAAAAAGAAAAAAAAAGCAGTTTCAGTTACTTCTGTTATTTCAGACAATACTAATTGAATGACTATTAAATATACCATGTTACCTTCCTCTGAATGTCACCTGTGTTCATCCAAAATACCTACTGGCTTATCCCATAAAACAGTTTGGGAGATACTTGAGGAGTTTGCCCTGTAAGCTGTATTTAAGTTAAAATCTGACTGACCAAATAGGATTGAGTTTTGCTTAATACAATATATAAACAGTTCTCTTGGGAATGTGAGCAAATTGTATTGAAACTAAGAATAAAAAATCCTGAAGAGAGATTAAGAATATTGACTGTTAACATTATCTTTGAACACCTGTTACTTAATACCCACTGTTTTATATACCAATCACTTGTCAAGATCCCACTATTTTTTCAAAGAAGTATTTCAAGTGTGTCACACATATCAAAATGAAAATCACTGGGCAAGACCATGCTCCCTGCCAATCACCTACTTTTTAACCACTCCCAACTGAATGCAAGTGTAGATGTGTCTGGTCAGGCCACAAGTGTTAGAGAGACAAGGTGAGTCATTAACAGAGTGCAGGTTAGTATTTTACCAGTCCTTCAGAGCTTTATAAAAAATAAAAATATTTCTTCATTTAGACAAAATCTGATGGTTTAAGGATGATATTTCCTCTGTTAAGAGAAACAATGAAAGATCCCTACAAACGTTAATTACGCAAGTACCTGAAGTAACAGGCTGAAGTATCAGTAATTACCAGATGAAGCACCAGAAAGCTAAAGGAACATGCTCACACTGTGTAGTCAAATAGTAATAAAAAAAAGCATTCTATCAAATACTACTCAGCAGAACTGCATGTGATATCAATTAAAAGTCATGAAGAAAACTGCAGGAACAAAATTTTGGGGCTTTATGCTCAAGTCTGACAGAAGGGAAGGATTTAAATTCAAGCTAGTTAAAGAAAACCTGTACAATTATACCTTTCCTTATCATGACTACTACTCTGACACCACAGTTGCAAAAATCAAGTTTCAGGCAGGTCACTCGGACAGCACGGGGGCAGCTTACACTGCAGCAGAAGGCTGCACCTAGTATTTCCCTTACCAGTTGCCAGTTGCTCAACTCTTAACATTTCTTGCTTGGAAATACCCTGTCACAGACACTCCCAATACACTGCAAAAACGTAACCTTAAAAAGCCATTTCACATCAACTTTTTAAGGAAAAAATGGGTGATTATTTTTCCCCAAATAAATATGGAATATATTCCATTAAATATGGAATTATTCATGTATGTATTATTAATAAAGTTTGATCACAAGGCTTTGACATCTGTAGTTACCATAAAATCTGCCTCGGGAAACACCAACTTCACAAACAAAATGTTTATGCTTGTGTGTGGTCACCTATGACCCAGTTCTGGGTTCTCACTTATCTTATTTCTGTTCTCACTTCTGTTAAGTAGTGCATTACTGCTTGTAGCTACTGCTTGTTGCAACTTTGGTGGTTTGAATGTCCAAAATTCTTGACAACAGATGCAAGAAGCTCTTGCAACTCCAGAGGAAATCTCTATTCTTATGAAGCAATGTCCTCCAAACCAAGTCATCTGTAAAAGCAGTAAGGAAGCAGCATGTAATACTTACTTTCAATTAGTAACTAATAGGATTTAGATTTTTTAAGAAGTGGAAAGAATATAGTCATTGAGTTAGACCTAAAGTTTAATTGCTGTTTCTCAACAAAGTGTTGAAATAAATTTTGAAAGATGGTATCCTTGTAAAGAAGTTATTCTGTGACCATCTTTGATTCACTAAAACTGGTATTCCAAAGGGAATCAAAAGGTTGTAAAAAAATACCACTAATGCCGTTTTCCTTCACCATTAATTACTCCTTTTTTATTTTTGTAAGTCAAGAGAGTCAATATACTGGTATTCCTAAATCATCCCTCTTGCATTTTGATGAGCTGGTCTGCCATTACTGTTCTCAGTTACAAATTTCAAAGTCTCTTTGGAATACTGATTTCATATTTGCAGTTTTCATCTTTTTTTTTAATTCCATCCTATTTCCCTGAATTGTTTCTCACGACAGTTGCTGTAAAATTTAATATAAAACATTTAGTCACAAAATAGTATTGCTTTTTATGCACATTGTGGAAAGATTATTTTTTCCAATAAAAACTATACCATCTTCCATAAAATCCTAAACATTTTAGGAACTGTGATGCAAAACAAAATTACACAGGGTGAAACAGGTACCAGCACAACAGTGAGATTATATTACATCAAAAAATTTTAATGGTCCCAAATATATACTCAACAACTAAGCATACACTCGGGGGGGGGGGGGGGGGAAAAAAAAAATAAAACAAGAAAAAACCACATCTAGAATTCCACTCAATCTTTAATCAAGAAGGGACAGACAAATCCCCCACCTCCAACAAAAAAAATTTAAAAAATCTGCAGTTTAAAGGGCAAAGGGAACAGATTTAAAAAAAAAAAAAAAAAGAGGAAACTTTATATTCAGCCCTCCCCCGTAGAGGTTTTTAAAACCTGTTGTAGCTTGACTAAAATGTTCAGAATGTACGATTTCAAAGGCAGGTCTCTTTTACACAAAGAAACTGCTGGCATTCTTAACTAGTGAAGAATTATGGCAAAAAATGCCTTTCTTCAGAAGTCTCATACATGGTCCAAGAAAGCAGATTCCAATTGTAGCAACTGACCAGCCAATCCAGAGTTCCACTAACAAAACTCCTGCCCTGTTGGCTTTTTCTTTTTCCATTTCCTTCCCTGAGAAAAGGGCAACATGTGGTCCAAGCTGGAGAGCTCAAAGGCGTTAAGTCTTTCCCCTAAACAAAGTATTTCCCCTTCTTCTGCTCCTTTGAATTGGCACTTGATTGGCAGAAATCCATTTGTTTATGTTGAGCTGTGTCACACACAGTAATTCACAAAAGATTGCTGCTTTGTTGTGGTTTTGTTTTTTGGATAAAATATTCTTCCCCCAACTAGTAATGTTCTTCAGCAGTTGCCATTATGATGATTCAAGCTTTGCTTTCTTTGACAATGGTAAAGTTTCCTCCTTATCTTCATCTTCATCATCCTCTTCATCATCATCAGGATAATCTACGAGCCCCACAAGGCCTCCCTACAAGCAAAGACAGGCACAATTACTATAATTAAGAAAATGTATTGCATATTGCTTTTTCCAAAGCATTTGGAAATGCTTTGGAAACCCTCTGCAGTGGGTAAGAATATTGATATATGAAATTTCAAAAAAAAAGAAAACGGAAAAATCCTTCAGCGTGAATAAAAATGTCATCATTTGGGAGGAGAAAAAAAAAAGGAAACTAAATGAATAAATCCAAAAAGGAGCTTTGCCAATCAAAATCAAGTAGACCTACTAGAGACAGTATTTCCAGACGAAATTACAAGAAAATTAAAAAACTACCTAGTTTTGCTAGGTATCACTGCAGCTCTATCTATACAAAGACTTCCTTCATCTGGCACGGATGACAGCAGCAGAGGGATCTGACAGCACTTCAGAAACAGGTATAGAATATCCTTCCAATTGAATTTTCAATGAGTACACTTTTAGAACACAATCTCTCATCAAAAACTTAGTTTAAATGTTCAATAATTTAAGCAATTCATGACTGAATTGTGAAGGTTCCAAAATTGAAAATATTTGGCCAAAAAAAAAAAAAAAACCAAAAACTTTAGAACATTAAAACTCCCCTGTACTGTAAAAGCCAACAAATTCAAGATTAGGCACCTCTTAAGCCCACAAGGAAGTGCCAGGATTTTTAAAACTTCCCCGCATTACCATGCAATTTACGAAAGTTAACCAGCATTTGACTGCAATGGCTTTGAGGACTGTTTCACTTAATTAGGTATCTGAAAACTGAGATACAAACCTGACATTTCAGAAATAAAAAAACTCACTATGAAAACAGAATCTCTTCTCCCAATTGTCGTAAATGCAAATCTGCAACAATAAAATCACCCTATGTGGCTTTGTGCCTGTTCAAAATTACCTTCGTTGTAATAGCTGCCATCTGAGATGTGCTTTTAGAGACAGATCCCGGAGAGCCAGGAGACCCTGGGGATCCAGGAGACCCTGGGGATCCGGGCAAGTTACTTGCAGATGACTGGCTGGTAAGGTTGGATTTTGTACCACTGGAAAAGGAGAGTTTGAAACTTGGGCTCTGACGACCTGACAGATTAGTTTTCAGAAGAACTTCCTTTTCTTCACTCTCTTTTACTGGGAGGGGAGAAAAAGCAAAAACCAAAGCAATGTTAGTGAGCAAAAACTGAATTAGAAATCAGTTTGTGTGGGGAAATATGCTTAAGACTTACTTATCATGCTACCGCTTGATAAAACAAAAGGTCACAGAACTTTTTCATACTACCATACCACTCTGTCGATGGCATGACCTGAACATTCATATGTAAAATGATGAATTATAAATCCAAATAAAACACAAGAAAACGACTGCCAGCTAAGACTGTCATTTAAATGTTTTAAGAATTAAATGTTATTTTGTTCCACTCCATTTTACAGACAACAAAACAGACTGTACAGTGTCACAAGTTTTGATATTTACGAATTTGAATATCAATGCAAGCAAATCCTTAATTCACTAGGACTAAAAAGAACAAGACGGGTCTTCTGCACAAGTCATATGGTGTCATCATCGCATCACTTACATTTTTTCCTCTCCATGAATTTACTGATAGGGTCCATAATATCTTCATCATTTTTAGTTTTGTCAGAAGGGGGCACCACTGCCTCTCCATCTTCCATATCATCTTCATCCGTGTTAAACCACATTTCCTCCTCATCCTCCAGGGTTCTAGCATCCCTTCGGTACCGGTGGTTCCTCAAAATGGAGCGCATACTGAAAACAATCCATTGAAAAACTTTTGAACCAAGAACTTACTCATGTTAATAAAAAACAGCATTCCCATCTGACATTTACACTGACCTGTTAAAAACACTGTAAAACAATAAAAGTATCAGCATCTATAATATAGTAAATCATTATGAAACACGCAACTTTATGTTTTCAACATAAATGGCTATTCTTTTTAAAGCACTTTCTGAAAGTATCTCTGCAGAACCACATAGCATTGTATCCACCCAACATTTCTGTACATTACTAACAACTTTATTAAATATCACTTTCATTAACATAATTTCTGTGTTTCATTCAGGTGTGGTACAATAGTTTGCACAGGTAAATAAAATGCTGTAAAAAGAGCGTAATATGTAAATATGTATGTAAAAACAAAAATTTGTAAAAATAAACTATAGATTAATTTCTCTAATTATACTTCATAAGCCATCAGTATTTGAGGTCCAAAGTTCTTTAAAAAAACCTAACTTACACACAATCCTGGTTTAAAATCCATGTATTAAGAATACAGCTATCTCTTCCTCCCACATCCACTATGTACAGGGGAAGGATGGTGGGGAACAACTTCTGGATCACTTGCATTTGGGTCATGACCAAACAATCATTTTTTTTTGAATTCTTCTGGACTCTGGACAGCAAGTGCCACTTCTTGTTCCCCATCAGATCTCTTTATTATTCCTTTTGGTCTACTTCCGCTCTAGCTTCCTTTCCCCTCAGAGAAGTAGCGTTATGGTCTGGGAAGAAAGGCATATGGATTGCAAGGTGCAATCCAGAGAAAGAAGAGAGTAGAAGTAGAAAAAAAAACCCTCTTCTGTTTGCTTGCTGTTGATTCAAACAATTCTGAATAAAGACATGAAAACCCTTTTGTAACATTTTTGTAACATTTGTTCTGACTTTACTGAAAATAGTGTTTATCTCAAATTCAGTGTTTTTTATAAAATTCTTGTTATTGGATTAAAGATATGAACATGACAGTCTGAATTTATTCTACTTAAGGAAAGGGTCTTTAACTACTGACTGCAGGAAAAGCAGAAGGTAAAAATTAAGAAACTGCGAAGTAGAAAATAATAACTTTTTTTTTTTTAAATAAACCTAATTCTGAATAAATTGGTTACCAGTGCCACCATCTGGATCTATATAACCCACATCCTTCCAAACTGGATTTCAACTAAGTTCTGCTAACAGTACGAAACTACTACTTAAGCAACATTCCTCTGGTACTCTTTTGGCCCGTGCCACCAAAACTGCTGGCCTCTTTCCTGACTGAAGTATTTGTCATTAACATGTGTGAACATTTTTCACATTTTTCTTACTTCCGTTTCTTCACTTACGACCAGACTGTGAGATGGCTTGCATAGCCACTTGGTAACATGCAGGGAAAAAAAAAAAAAAAAAAAAAGAAAAAGAAAGCTAGGGCAAATATAAACCTCCTCAAGTCATAGTCTTTTTCATACACTTAGTAGGTAAAACTATACACCACCAATTAGCTTAACTTACACCATTTTTACTTATACTAAACTGAAATTACTCACGAATGTGGCTGGATATTCTAACACATGCACTGATGTTGGAACCACAGGGCTTGGATTTCGCAGCTGTTTCACTGACAAGCTCAGCCGACACAAGCCAAAATGGTAACATGTATCCTGTGACCCACGAGCATGCCAAACGGGGAGTTCATCAAAAACCCTGCCAGAGAAATATGTTTATTCGCATCTATTTTGTTTGATAGGAGTTATGCACAAAGTAAAATCATTCACCAAAAACAAATGCAAATTACTTTTATACACTTTTATACACCCTACCACTTTGGGGAACTGTGTACTATGTGGAAGAGAACTTCTGCTCTGGCACAACAGAAGGAATGATTTAAGTGCGATAGCACATTATGTTGTGCTCTGTCAGCAAGTGTAACTGTGACAAAAGGTATTGCTGAAAATTTCTTTGCAAATTCTATTCCTCAGTGACTTTAAGCAGAGGTTGGTTATCTAGTATCTGCATGTCTACTCCTATCACTAACTAAAATGAAAAGAAACTTGGCACATGAATTTTTCAAAGAAAAATCCACAAAATAATTTATGAAAGAGCAATCTTTCAAATTAATTGGTGGTAATCCAATATTCACCAAATAAGCTTCAGATATTGACAGGCTTCCATCCTCATTACAATAGTGCACAAACGTTGAGGATACTATCACTTGGCATTACTATTGGAGAAGTGGGAAGTGGGTGAACAACATTCTTCAAAATTCAACAATGCTGCAGATGGAAACAGGAGCTGATGTTATTTACACTTCTCACAATCACACAAAAATCCACCAATACTGAAATAGAATTTGAGAGCTGAAATACTAATGAAAGCACGTAAGAGCATTTTACCTGTCAAGTTTTGGATTATCTTGTCTTTCCCTTTGTTGCTCAAATCGTAGTTTCAATCCTTTGAATGTCTGCACATAATCAACATCTTCCAGTGCTTTCCAGTAATTTTCAATCACGTGGGCGGTTAATGATTTTATATCTTCCTGTAGGAAGAAACAACCATAAGGTGATTCATTTAGGTTCAAATGAATGTATTTGTTAATATAATATAAGAAATTTTATCACATTGTAAATGAAATGCTGGATTATTTTAAATATTTCATAGGTGATTATCTGAAAAAAATACTATTAGACACACAGGTGTAGTTAAAAGCCTAAATCCAGGTATTTTCCATCAGAAATGAGTATCAAGCTTTTCCGCTGTGACCGCACCAGTCAGGCACATTCAAGGTCCTCTAGGAAAAGCTCCTGACTCTTTTGCTGTAGGAAAGGAGCGTGGTGGCTGCCCAAAGGCCCTGCCAGGTAGCAGTGCAGCTCTGCACCTCCCTGGGATGAGGGCTGCTCCTGCACACGGGTTGGCTCCTTTCACACTGCTCAGTCCCTGGAAAGCCTGAAGACTGAACTTGGGAGCTGCCCTCATCTAGGACAAGCAAAGCGACAGGAATCAATGCACAGATTTGTTTTCTCTTCTGGTTGCTTGCTCAAGGGTCACCTCTTATGAATGATAATACATCAAAAACAATAAAAAGACAGATTTATTATTATTTTTTCTCCTTAAAAATAGAGAAAAAGATAGAAAAGATAGAAATTATTTACAAAGACTCAAAAGTGTTCTGGAAATGCAATCTTGGTATGTGAGTGAAAAAGAGGATGGAAAAATAAAACATGACTTATTTTCAAATTAAAATAAAATGTAACATCACCTCCGTATTCCACAGATTACTGAAAAAACACATCATAAAAGTTATGGCCACCTATATGGACTTTTTTCTGTTTGTTTTTTTTTTTAAGCTCCAAATCCTTTTCTTACCAACTCTTCCAGTAAGATCAGTTTATCTCAGTCTTGATTTACCTTGGGAACTGCAGCTTAAAGGAGGCGGAACTTAACAAAAGATTTCAACAGGTGACAAAACCTTATTTTTCCCCATTCACCTACTCTTCACAACCTGCCCACTACCCTGGCTTATCCTTCTCCATATCAAATTTAGTGTCTGCACAGCACCTTGTTAGGACACCGATGGGGATAACAGTGAGGAACCAGCACTCTGCTGACAACCAAACCAAACCAGTCTCCTTATTTTTACAAGGCTCCCCACAGCGGGAATTTTGTGTACTTCATTAATATATTTAGAAGAGACGGATCTCTTGCCTGTATGTTTCCATATTCTGTAGAACTCAAGTCATTACAGGGCAAAACTAAATTTGAAGATTTCATAGCAGCAGTTTCAAATAACATTCCTATCCTAAGTGGATCATCCAATCTGCATGATGAAACGTGATTAGGATTGCTTTTCAATCTGGGTACTCCGAGTACAGATGCAACATTGAGTATCAATTGAATTTAATTTTCAAATCCTGGTATAGTTTGAACATGAAGAATTACCAGTGATACAATATAAAGTTCATTTAAATACAGTTATCATAAGATCACATCTTTACTGTAACTTAATTTAGGGCATAAACTAAATGTCTGTTTGAATAACAAGTTTAAACAATATAGTAATTAACTTTAGCACTCACCACTCTGATAAATTCAAACATCTCTATTATGGCAGAGTTCATTAGGTTATAACGGGAACCATTATTAAGAAATGCTTTGACCACAGGTTCAAACAAAAAACTTTTCATTATGTAACGGTTGTAGAATTCATCTTTTAGTCCAATAATCTTTCTCTTGAAACGAAGGGCACCTGAAACAGAAATTGTTTTAATAGCTATGCTTTTTAAATGTAAAAGAAAAAAAAATCAGAAATTATTTGGTATTATTCACGGAAACCTGCAATTCTGTAGCAAATACAATGCATTCAGATATTCTCTGTTTCAAAAAGGTCTTGACTATACTGCTTAAGTTTAATTATCCATTTTTTTCAGAAAGAAATCCTCCATTATAATTCTACAAGTAAGACAACCTCTGACCACTGATGAAGTAAATACTACTGTTCAACTACATTATTACTAACAGAGGTGTACTGCTCTTCTTTTTATTTGAAAAGATCTATGATAAAGGATTTTCCTTTTCCTCAGTGAGAGACCTAGGAAATTTGCTTATCTGAGTGTGTTCGATTACATTTAATTAAGTACTGCTTGATTAGAATGTGAACTATCTCATTTTAAAATCGGTAAATGGCTTTTTCTTCATACACACAGTAAAGCAAAATCTAGTTTACATCCTTTTAAAGCTCTTTCTGAAACACCAGAGCACATCCACGTTTATGAATGCCCATGCGCATACATGAGGCAGAGTATCATCTCTCTAAAGGTAGGTACATTTTGGTTAGCAACTACTGTATACATGAAGCATGATTAGTGATGGACTCTAAACCCAAAATCTTAGATGATTTAGGTAACTTCTATCCAATAAATACCAAAAAGTTATGAGGGTTCTCTTTGGACATTTAATTTTGAGATACCATCTTTTCAATTCATCACCCTACTACAAAAAGAACCTTATGCATTTTAAAAAATCATTTGTAAATCCCAAACTATTTGCTAATTCTAGCTGACCACTGTAAAACGGTAAAAAATTAATCTATAAAATGGAAAAAAACAAGATAGGGTATAATGGTAGAATTTCTGTAATTAGTCAAAATTTGTCAAGAAGTTTTTAACAGTTTTCTTCCAGCAGAATGAAGATATATCAAAATCCATTTTCACAAAATCCCAGTTTTATCTTGAGCTTTCAAACTTACACAATGCCAGAAAAGCATGCTTTGAGGCCATGAGAACAAGTACCCTTCGCAGGATATCTTTGTTAATAATGTAGTTCTTTATGTGGTAAGTGTGATGCTCTACGCAGAACGTTAGCAATTCCAGTATTAATGCCAAGAGCTGGGCTGTCTGAAAATCATCTGTAATAAAAACAGAAGAATCCCCACAATTACACATTGAATATGATGTTTAGACACGAGCTTCAAATATGCAAGTGCAGTCCGGCAAACACTTCCAAGCTGTTGTGTATTCGCACAGCTGGCTTAGAAAATATGCGGGAAGGTTAATGTTTGAAGTAGAAATCAAACAAGTCCCTGTTGGGGACTGAACTTTTTCTAGCATATAGGTATGACAGGAAACCTGCTTAAAATATAGAAACCGTTACACCTGGAAAATGTCTGAAGTGTCTAAATGTTCAGGAAATAAAGCACTTACACTACACAAGCAATCAGGCTTGCTTGACCAAATCTTATTCTGACGCCTGTCTCTCTCTCTCTATATATATATCTATCATAAAATCTGGCCTCATAAACAGCATCCTGACTATATTTACATCAATAATATGACCCATTATGCTTTTTAAGAAAAGCACTGTACAAGAAGCCAAACGGCTCAGGCTTTTAATAATTCTATGATACAATTTTATCAATATATAAAAATATAACTACATCAATATATACTCTAGTCATCCATTTAAATAGAGAGAAAAAAGGAATATTAAAAATAGGGTATATTTAACCTTTTCAAAAATCCCTTGACAGTTATTCCATTTTAAACATTGACAGTCAACGGCCTCTAAGGTGCCCATACAGAGCAGGATTACCTTTGCTAGGCTTGTCCTCTGTAGTATTGGCCAATAATGGGGCTGTGAGCACGTGCATACAATGTTTGTAGAAGAAACCCAAGAACTCTGTCTTTTCTGTTTTCTAAAGAATTAAGAAGCTTAATATTAGTATTATATATGTAACATACATCACCAAACACTCCAGAAACACAACTGCAGTTTCATTTGAAGGTATTTACTTACATTGGCAGTGGCAAGCATGTTTTCTGGATCAACTAAAGTACGAAGCAAACCCATTAGCAGCACTGCCCCTCCAAGTTCTGGATCCGTGTCACAAATCATGTGTTCTATAATGAGGTTAATGAGTAATATATCCTAACGGGAAAAAGAAAAGAAGCAAAAATCAATTCTAATGGCACTCCCTTGCCCGAAGTCTGAAAATCTTTCCTATAAGGAATGTTGCCTGGTCAAAAATGGGGCTATATCAAATTAAAAAAAAATCCTAATGGAAACAAATTAATTTTGCCTGCCAAAGACAACTTGTACAGCTAGTGGTTCAACAGTAAGGAAGCAAGCAGTCACCCAAGAATCTTTCAAAACAACTGAAAACGGTTCTTAAATTAAGAATCTTCAATTAGACTTTAGTCTAAACTGAAAATCGAAAATATACATTGAACAGAGGGTGATACTTAACCATCTCATAAGTGACCTAGTTTGTGGAAAACTTTTAATACTACAGAAATTTCAATCAGGATCTTCCTTTGAATACACGGCAAAGTCTTATTTCTACAGATGTGCAGCAGCAAACTTTACAGGTCTGAATAATGCCATTGATTTTAATGAGGTTATCCTCACATAAGAATTCTTATTTTCTACCTATACATGTTGGACTAGTAATAAATAAAAACAGTAAATAGTATTTGCATTTAGGAATATCTACATGTTTGCTATCACTTTCTACATATGTGATCAACAGACAAAACACAGTAGGTTCAGTAAATTAGAAACATATCCCTGCTAAGATCAAAATGTGTATTGTGTATCATATTTTAAGGAGTCAATCATTGAAAAACCTTTCGTTTTGGTTTCTTACAACTAGAAAGTAGATTAGAACTTTTAAGATGGATGCTATTTTTAAGGCTGTTAAACATATACATTTTATTACTAAGATACTAATATATTAGATCAAACAAAACTCAGCTATTCTGAAAACTAACCAAAATATCCACAGACCTAATAAACTAGAACACTTTTCCACGTCAGTGCATTTTTTTTAAATGCATGTTTTCTAGAAATAAAGGTGAAAGACACCCACACAAAGTTATATACTCCTTTTTTAACGTTTTGTCATTTTACTCAAGGTTGAATTATAATTCTACTTCCAAAAAACTGCAGTTCTGAACATGATTATAGTCATATTTTTACTCCTGCATGATAAGGTAAGCCTTATTTCAGTTATCACAAGACAAAACTGTTTTCACAATATTATTTATTGCCATAGTAGATACTAAAAATACTCCCAAATAATACATTTAAAAAATCTAAACCGACACTTCTAATATAAAACTTCAAATATAGCACAGGAAAATGAGATTTATTCTCCACTAATACAATGGTAAATATGAAATAGTAACTGAGTAAAACAACACTAACACATTATCTGGAGACCTTCTACTTACATCATCATTTTGCTGTGCTTCCTGCATGACAAACTCTCGTACCATAGATGGGTTGTATTCAACCAAATATGAGAATATGTCAGTGGCTGCACTTCGTACTTGTGCATCATCCATACCCTGAAAAAAACACTCATGCTTACTTACAATAAAAATCTTTAAAATGAATGAAAAAGAGAACTCATACACTTCTGAATTACTATTTACACGTCATATGTAAATGTTACTAAAACAAGTTAAAATAAGTTTTATAGTTTCCCTTGGGTCTGTTTCCCTATTTTCTTAGTCAACAGTATACCAAGCAGTACATAAAGATGGGAAATTTTAAAATAAATGAATTTAAAACCACATGACTGAAGTTTGGCTTATTTTTAAAACCATTTTCTGGAGAAAAATAAAATTATTACGACAAACAAAAGTGAGCTGACTTACCAGTATTACTTCTAGTGCTGGCAGGATGCCCATATTTGACAAAGTTTTGAAAAATGCATCTCGGTTTTGAGGTTGCAATGTTTGAGAGAATGCACAAAACTCTTTAAGAAAATTTACCTGAAATACAAGATTAACATATCAGTTAGTAATGAAAAATGGGATGCAAGTATCGCTTTGTAGTAACTGTCCCTTCTATGTGTATTTTACAGATTTCTTACCAATTCCTGTCTTTTCTCCTCATCCGTGGCTTCATCTGTTAGCTGTGCAAACAAGTCTGTCAGAAATTTTTCATCTTCCTACAAAGGCAAAACAATACCATTTGTTTATTTGACAATACCAAAAGGCATCCAAGTATAATACAAAGTTCTTCTAAACCATGCCTCCTGCAATTAAGAGAGAGAACACTATTGTGTACTGCATATAGTCATATAAGGATCAACCATCTAATTCCGTTTTCAAGCACATTAATACAAATCTTGCCTTGGAGCTTTTACCATGATCAGCTGGTTCCCCTCCTTGGCCCTTCCCTCCCTGCTCAAGTTTCATTCTTAGTTATGATTTATCTTGTATGATCTTTTGGTTGCCCTCTTTCTATTGCCATCCTCATCTTCTCGCCTACGCCGCTTTCTTTAACTCCTTTCCCCTCATCACATGTCCTTGCCCCTCAATCACGCTACAAAACCTTTGCTCCAAGCCTTTCAGCATTATGAGAAACACGTTCTTGCAATGCAGCCCTGTCCACGTATGTTCATCCCTGTAATGTTATGAGAGCGTAGCAACAGGAAGAAAACACAAGCACTGTGACAGGAGTGATGAGGTGAGATTTCATCTCCCCCTCTTGTGAATAGGGTGGCTCTGGAAACCACATTAAAATAACCGTTCCTACAAGCTGCAGTGCTCATTGAGCCTTCTGGCTGGCAGCAATTAAAAAACACTTATTTTTCTTGCTGCTGTAGCTTAGCAAAACCACAAACAGTGGCCAAAACATCACAGATATGTATCAACAGACCTGAACAAAAAGCAGTACTTACCCTCTCCTAATCTTTACTATCCTACATTACATAGCTACATTAAAAAACAGAAGCAAAGCCCTCCCCATCCTCTCCCAATACCAGATAGTACTTGACAGCATTTGCTTTAAAAATACCTGTATGCCAAAGATGAAGAGTTTTTTCAAAAAGGTGCCAGAATGTCAGGCTGCAAGGCACTTCCTGTGAAGGTGCTAACACCACAAGCAGCATCCCCTCATCCAAAATCCCAGTAATACCCCATGCTGCCCTGCTTGTGTTTGCAGCAACACCCAATACAGCTACACCCAAACATTCTGATATTTTCTTACACTTTGATTTTAGGACACTCAAGCTGCAAAGAAAGATTATAAGGATATACGACTACTTGGTATCCAGTTGTTAATATGGTCTAGTAAGTTTTCAATTCTAATGTTTAGCTCATTAGACATTACAGGTAACATAAATACCGGAGAGATACTGACATACTTGTTTACTCAAATAAAACATTATAGACGACAACCTCTAAAAACAAAAACAGTTCCTTTGAAGAACATGCAAGTTACCTTCCCTGATTAACAGTATACTTAAAACAGACTAAAATGCTTCATGTTCTATCCAGATAAATCCAGGAAAAAGAGCAATGAAAGTCATCTGATCTAACAAACCTAGAGAAAAACCACATGCCTGTTTCCCTTTGGCAGTGTGACTCGTTACTCTGTGGAAGTTTTCACCTCTAATATAAGGCCTGAACCTAAATTGCAGCCAGTACCCCAGAAACATCTCAGAATGGTCATGGTGAAAAACAGCGCAAGGCTGAGTACAACCGTGACTAGGGTCCTACTGCAATACAAGAAACACAGGATTTCCCTAGGTTATCAACAACAAAAACAAAACAACAACCACCACAAAAGAAAAACAAACAAAAACAACCTTTTTTTTAAGTTAAAATGTGGAATTTCTCTCCATGAGGAGAGAAAAGGAAGCAAAAAAAAAAAAAAAGCGCCACCCCTAGAACCTCTGTGCACAACATTCGCTGCTGGTGATCTGTGGGACTCATTTATGTCCTGCTGGAGCCCCCAGGGACGAAGGTGGCCTGAGAAGGGGCAGTTTGCAGGGTAACACTGTGCAGTGCAGCGGGGCAGTGCCCGCCTGGCAGGGCCGGCTGCCCGCAGCACAGGCAGAGCTGCTCCTGCTGCCGCTCTGCCGCCAGCGGCCGGCACTGCTGCAGGGGACTCATTCCACCACCACTAACATTACCTGATGAAGAACTCGATGCTGACACTTAACGTTTCATGGAGAATTTGCCAAAGTTGTGCATGTAACAGTTTTTCAACACTTCAAGCGTGTAACGTAATATGGCATTTTACATAATTTTTCTAAATATAATACCGAAAGGTTTTCCACACCATTACCATCTCTTCCCCCAAATTCTTGTAAATATATTGTAACTCAAATTATCAGTATTTTCTGACATCTCTCACCCTCAACACAAGTCTGATCTCACTTAAAATCAGTAGAGCAACCAACTGATCCAAAATACCCCACAGCAGAAATTCCTTCCATGGAAAATAAGCAATAAATGGCAGTTATTTCAAGAAAATAAAAGCAACACGAAAATTTAAGTCCCCTATTCCTAATTTAGCCCTGAACTATGTTTCAAGTGAGGCTTGTTCCAGAGGCTTAGCAAAAAGCAGACTGGTTGTTATTGATGTAAAAAGGTTTCTCTCATCTACAGAAAGCCTGGGAATGCAATGAAAATGCTAACTACAATAATGTATGTATGTATCTGTACATAGAAGGCTGTAAAATTACTGACAAGATACTCTAGTTAAAGATACGTTCTTGAGCTACACTCTCAGAATCTAAACAAATGCACAAGAGAGCATAGTTCATGTATTTTGGAAGTTACTAAACACTGAAAATCAGAATTACACAAAGGTAAATGTACTCTGGTTTTTGTTTCGATTTTGTTTTCTTTTTGCATCTTGGAAAATTTTGAGAAGATCTATGCCTGTGAAACAGATACAGAGTAAATAATTCTCTGTAATATCTGGCCTCTCAATGCAGACAGGTGTCCATATCCATTTGGATATACTCCAGAAGCTCTGAAGGTCACAAATGTCTTCCAAGAAAAAATAAAACTGCTAAAGACAACTTACAGAATCATCTCCGAATTAAGTTATATGTTTTCTCCATGCTAGAAATGATTAAACATCCAATGCCAAAACTATGCATAGGCCAAACACTAAGTATATTAATTTACGCTTCTGCAAGCTCTAAGTAGATGCTTCTATGTTTTGAACATCTTTCAAAGTTGATGAAGCTGGAATCAAGCCAGGCTCGCCTCTCACTCAATCATTTCTGTGTTTAAAAACAAGAAAACCCACAGACAAAGCAGGATTCTGAAACTGTGATTCAACTTTCAAAGCAACTCCTCCTCCTTCCAAAAGGCACCTAAAAGCGCTCTTCAAAAGTAGGTCATTTTCCATTGAACACTGTGACTTTCAGCCATCAGACACTGCACACATATGATTGTACATAAATGAAAAAAACCCTCAAAAATGTCCAAGAAACTCAATGAAAACTAAATGGAAAAAGAGAATAGTTTCGATCCTGCTTTCTATCTGCATGTTCATTTTAGGCTATCATTTTTGGATATTTCAGCCCAGAAAGTGAATTTTTTATAAAATGCTACCAGCAAATGCAGAACTATAGTTTCAAACGTGCATTCCTTCCCACAACCACAATAAAAGATCTCATGTTTTAAAAGGCTTTGATCTCCCTTTATCTCAGACTGTCTTCCTACACATGCCTTTCATTCACTATCAATGAACTGTTTCCACTTCAGACAACATACTGAAATAGCAGTAGCACTTCAAAATCACTTTTGACAATGAAGAAATTAATTCAGAAACCATCAGCATGCAACACTTGTAAACTTCTTTCATCAAGCACTTTCCCATGGAACGTGTTCTTCTACACTTCACGGTAAATTATGCGGTCAAATAATTCTCAAAATAGAGTTATTCCTAAGCCAGCTACTGCTATGAAACAGCTCACCTATGGAGGCATCCTAATACTCCTCCATCTGGGCAGAACTCTTTACGTGCACTGACATAGCTCTTACTCAAAAACCCCTAAGGATAGATAATTCATATTTATTTTCTGGGAACTTTGTTAAGAGTAAGCAACTATCTGTAAAATACAATTCCATATTTAAAATGAGGAATAGCATACTTTTACACCTATATCTAGTAAAATGTATGTGTGTAACCAAGTGCCCACAAACTTCAGTTATTAGAAGGGGAGACAGGAACTATGAGTAAAACAAATTCTGTATTTTAAAAAATCTGATTTACAAGTACAGTAATGCCATGTTATCCTTGTTCCACTAAGCATTAATTATTTAAATATGTATTTCCTCTTCCCTTTCCACTGTCCAGTTTCCTGAAAACACAAGATAACAAGCTCTGCAGTAATCCTAACAATCTGTATTCTAGAAGTTATGAACACCACAGGATCTTGCTGTCAAAAAGAACACGCCAATGAGAAAGGGGGTAGAGAATGGAAGGAAACAGTGTTTGCTCACTCTATGGCGCAGTTTTGCAAGTTTTTTTTTTTTAAAGAACTAGTTTGTAATACAAAGGGAAAAAAACTGGTGGCCTCCAGTGTGAACATTAGTATGTATTTTTTAAATTGCAAAAGAGCGTCATATAAAGTAAGAAACACTACTTACCTGTCCCACCCCCACTCTCAAGCTTGGCGAGCTCCGTGTCTCAGCAAGGCTCCTGGGTGGCTATCACATCCCAAGGCTACAATGGGCTGGACCCCAAGCTCTGAGAGCACATTAGGAAGGGCTGAAATTGGAAAAAAATGTCATATATCTATTTCTTTGCACCTGCTGTACAACCTGATCATAAAACCTGGAAGTGAGCAAGCTTCTACAGTAGTTACTGGAAATGATGCTATCCTAGATTTATTATACAGAGCATAGTGAGCACTTGATGAACATGACAGACCTTATCACAAATAAACTCAACTCCACAGAAAGGCAAGCAGTTTTAGCATGTTAAGAAAAAAATATGGGAAATCTAAACTTAATGAAGAGGGATGAACATGGTTTATAAATCAAAAGTGACCCACTCTCCACTTTTGCTTTTATCCCAGAATAGGCAAAAGATACTTGTCCACTGAACAAAAAGCAAAATCAGGGAAGTGGGTATCTTCTTGGCCTACGCATTTTTTTTCTTTTTTTCCAAAGGTCCAACATCTCTCCTAACAACCTTTTTGAAAGTCAAAATGCCAAGAACCAGTACATCCTTCAATTCCTCAGTCTTGCCTCCATGCTGAAGGTTGTCCAAGTTACCGAATTGAATAGTTCTAATTGAAAAACTGACTTTACATGGAATTATCTGGACAGAAAGTGGCTTAAATAGAACACACTGTAGTTTCAGCTCAACTCAACCAGCCTGTCACAAAGCAGAGGGCACAAGCAGCACAGCCCAACCAGGGAACCATTAACAACCATTCTCGTACAGATTTCCAATCACTTTTCTCTACACACATTTGGGCTATTGCAGGGTTTCACTTTAATCTGATACAAGGATTCCTCCAGAGCTCATCTTTTTATCAAAACATATTTTCTTCTCTTACTCCTCAGGGTCAGAGTCATACAAAAACACAGAATTGCAGGCACGAGAGTTGCGGGATACCAGCTGCTCACAGGGAACTGTTTACCCTAACCTTTCTGTGATGATTTACTAAAACTCTCCTATTGTAGCCCATCTGGTCTGGGAGAGAGAACTTGAAGTCATCCACACAAGCACAGGTGCCTATATTGCACATTCACTGCAGAAAACAAAGGACTCAAGACATACGTGTGGCTCCCAATAAATTACCATGAAGCATCCCAGAAACCTTGCAGTTAATAATTACTCAAAAAAGAAGCAGTTTTGCACATACACTGGTAAGATTAGTCAAAAAGCTGGATCTGGTAAGGTTAAAAGTAATGAATGCCAGGAACTGCCCTGCCTGGAGTGTAGTTAGAGTTAATTTTAAACCTTTCATGACCTAAGTCCAAAGAAAGTACTGTGATACTACCAGCTAAAAAGTGAATGTCAAACCACAGGGAAGGAAGAACTACATTAAGAACTAGTCATAACAGTGAACTCAAATAAAGCAGTCTTTCTACTTTGATCTCAGAATATTATTTATTCTACATAAAGAAATGAGAAGAACATTATCATATATTTTATTTATGGATAGCAGGAATGGGGTGAGAAAAGAAGGGGTAGAATGTGACTTTAGAGGGTAGAAATATAGACAACTGCAATCTGAAACACTTCTGTATAAATAAATGAGTAAACTCCAGATTAGTTTAAATCTTTGCTTTGAACTACACTATGAGAATTGGAAAAATAAACAAATTTATCAAGCCTTTTAATCTCATAAACACAATGAGCATATGATTTGCCAGATCCAACTTTAATTCCCTCAAAAACAAGAACTGATCGTATTTCCCAACAGGATCTTATTTACAAACTCACATGAAAGGTCTAGGAGTACAGCACAGTCTCACTTGTGTTCTACAAAGTACTTCAACAATCTGAAATATTTACCTTACTTTAAAACCTAGCCAGTGCTACCTATCCTGGCTCCATTACCCACAAACTATACCTTATTCCCCCCAAATCAGAGCCATTAGCAGCAGAAGGAAAGGTTCAGAGATGTAGAATCACTGAAGCTCTGAGGCTTCAGTTCATCTGTAAACTGCAACTAAGGAGTTTGCAACTGTACTAAGCAGTGATATTTTCACCCACCTTACCCTATGTGTAGAAATCTAACACAGTTTATAAGGGATAAAGAACAAATGAAAGCTAATCAGCCACTAGTTCTTTATCAAATTACCTCTTGGTTGCTGGCAAATACTTTCTTGACGAGTTTGCAGTGCCAGGTCTTCCTCCTCAATTTCCCTCCCAAAGCTCCCCAAGTTCAAGATCTCTCTCAATATCAAATACTGACACCAGCATTACTGTATAGCTCTTCCCTCTGCCTCTTGAGACAACACCTACTACACCCTCAACTCTATTTGAATCAACACTTGGCTAAGAGGTCAAGATGCTTTAGAGAGACTCATCTGGATATGCAAATTGAGATACTGTTCTTGAGTGTTTTTCAGCCCTCTCCCAAAGTCAGGTTTGCGAGGCTTCTCAGACTGTTACTTCATGATGATTACAGCCTTCTGCTTAGGATATACATGCTGTGATCTTGTTGATCAAGGTTATGGTTATCGAGGTTATCATCAGTTATAAAGAATCTAGTATAAAATCTGGAATTCATTTATGATCATCAATTTAACAGTTCAGTGCTCAAACTTCTTATTTCTTTTTTATATATTACTTCTATAAAGCCTGAAGTCATCTTGAAGTGAAAGCTCCAAGGAAGTAATCCAGTCTTTCCAAGAAACATTATCCAATGTATTTGCCCACACTCAAATTAAAAGGCTGAAATTCTCAAACTTACCTGTAACATACCAACTATTTCCACTTTATTAAAAAAGATGAAAGAATGAAGTGTTGATAACATATTTTCCTCAAATACTGAGGGAGTGGGTAGAACCATATCTTGAATATACTGTACTCTGTATGTCTGATGTATTTTTTGCTTCAGCTCTGGGTCAGATATAGGAATCACCTCTTTAAATTTTGCTGTTTTAGTCAGAAATTCCCTGTGTTTCCGTGACTGTGATAAAGATGGATCATATTCTAGGCATCCAATTACGTCCATTATACATTCCTCAGAAAACATGACTTCAAAAAGTGCAGTTCTGTTCAAAAGGAAGATTCCCTTGATAATTTCATATAAGTGGTGTAGTCCTTCAATGTTCTCCAAGTCCTCACACACATGAAAAATTTCTAAGAGCTTCTTAATATAGCCCTCATTTTCCAGTGCTAGTGCGAGCTTTTCACGACGTAATGGTGAAGGCAGTGAAGATGCCACAAGTTCTGCAATTTCTTCTAGTCGACTTAATTCACAAGATGGCAATTCTAGACCTGGAGATGACATATCATCAAAACGTTCTTCCTCGGATTCATCCACAAGGTCCTGAGTAATGTCGACAGAAGGGTCTTTGCCCTGAACCTATAAAATAACATGTTTTCAAAAAAGCAGAGTTTTAATGTTTAATGAACTTTTAGTATTTTTCTTAAAACACCATTTCAACTGCCATACATTTTCCTGCCTCCTAAGGCCAAAATACAAGTGTAAATATAAGTGTGACATTGAGATTTGCTGGTTTAGAAGATATGAGATATCCAAATAATTTCTTCAGAAAGAAGAAACAAAGTTTTTTTTCTATATTAGATATTTAATTATATTTATTCTTTTTAAAAAGAGAAGCTAGCAACGAAGAATAAAAAAAAAAAGAAATAAAAGATACATTTTCAGAATATTTCACATACAAATGGAAATTCACAATTACTAGCAGTGACCGCAAGCCTTTAAGAGAGTGCTGAGCTATTTGTTTCTAGCCCTTATTCACTAGTAAATTTCTAAATGAAAACCAGTACTACAATAACGCAGTGATAGCTATAAACGTTTACATACAAACTGTTGATGCTCCTGCTTAAACAGAATAAAGAGACTAGTCTTGTTGGTTTTATTGTTTTTCAGATTTGGAGAGCTGCAAGTCTAAATGTGTTATGGTGTACTTTCTATAAATACTCAATGGAGGCACAGAACCCACACCAAAGTCTACAAAGCTCTTAAGCACAGACAACCGGAACCCAACTTTAATGAAGAGTACAGGAAATCTGACATTGTCAGAAAAACAAGGCACAGAATCTGCAGAGATCTCTAGAAATACAACTAGAAAAGTACAAATTAGTGAAAAAAATGAACAAAGATGTTTGCACACCGGTATTTCAGCCTTAGTTTCATCTTAATTATGGTATTTGATGATGCATCAGATCCAAAAAGGAATTGCTATGTAGAAAAATAGAAGGCGCAGCTTTTTTTTAATCTTGAAATTTAACAAAAAAACGATCTGGGAGAAATAATTCTTCATGGACAACACAAATTCTATATGCATATAGATTAAAACGTAGAATGTTTTTAAATTCATTTACTGTTCACTATCAGCAGTCACGTGTACTATCAAAAAGAGATTTTCTTTTAAAAGAAGGCTTTAATGTCTAAAGAAGGTTAAAATGTTTGAAGTGCACTAGAGAAAAACACAATACGTCTCAGGTCTCAAAACAGGAAGTAAAAACATTAGATTCTTGCAAAAACACTATTGCTTTAAGCAAAGCCTGAACAATGAAACCACGTTTCTTTTGCTTCACTTCTGAAATCAGTTAGAACCAAATACTGAAGGCAGTGAAGTACATTCTTATTAAGAGCAAGAAGAAAGTCTACAAGGAAAGAATTGGTAATGAACCAAATAATAACTATGATAATCACATCAGTCATAGGACATACTGATTAAACTCTCCGGGTTTTAGTTAACAGCTTACAAGTATCAATTACGTAAGAGCTCCTGTACATTCTTCTCTCAACAATAAAACTTTAGAAAGATAAACTCTACCCTTCTGGCCAAGCAGGAAAAAGTTATTTATGAATACTGATTTATTACAAAGTGTTTTAAACATCTGTTTTAGAGATAAACTTCTTTGGGAGAAAATGGATCTAAAAAGTGATGTTAAGTAAAAAAGACCTGAAAACGCTCTGTGAAAATCACGCTAGAACTTCATACTAGATTTCTAGGTAAAGGGGAAAGTTTCCGCATCCAAAAATTCAAAAACTGGGGAGAGGCTGTTGTTCTGTTTTTACTATGGCTCAAATTAAATGCTTAAGACAGCCTAACACTCACAAACACAAAGACTAAGATTACTGGGCATCCTGATTAAACATCAAACTTACCTGGCATATTTTTTCCCATATTTCATCACATCCTGCTTTTTCTTGAAAGCTAAGTGCCAAATCATAATTTTCAGCTTCAGACCACACAATCAAGGTATCCTTTAAAAAAAAGAAAAGAATTTTTAGGCAACGTATTTTACATGTTACAAACTTCAACAGTGTTTAAAGACTCATACGTGAGTTATTTTAAGATAAAGATAGCTCTGTCATCTAATTATGATAGCACTGAGCTATAATTCAAATTTAATTATCATACTTTGAAAGATTTTGTAAGCTCTGAGATCCTTGGGAATGAAAAGTAAAACACACTTCAACACAAATCAGAACAAACAAGTTAAAGAAAATGTTTTCAGTCTCCATTTATGTGGCCATACATTTTTAAATGTCAAAAGCTATGTTTAGAACATGTACATTTTACCTCACCGCATCCACTGATAAAACACAATAATAAAGGAAACAGTTATTAAGGTTTTTTTTTTTCCCCCCTTTTAATTTTTTCAATCTTTTGCTTAGCAGCGGGGTGGTGATCTCTAGAGGTCCTCCAACCTCAACCATTCTGTGATTCTGTAATCTATTGCAAAAGAAGTACAAAAAATGACAAATATTTTGCAGGACAGAAGTAAGAATTACTTTCTTCTTTTTTGGAAGGCGGGCCTCAGAATACTGTGCTTAGAAATATGCATCAAGAGGGCTACAAACTTTAGAAAAAGAACAGACCTGGAAATATGCATACAGTTAACTGCCTTAAACATGCATACCTTTTGTATTGACCTATGCACATCACTTTTACTCAGATCAAACTGCAATTCTGAAAGGATATCATTTTCACTCTAGATTTAGACAATTTAGTTAAAATATTGCTTAGTTTACTACCCAGAAACTTTAGCTCCTATTAACTTATTAAAATAATCTAAGAGTTTATCAGAACCCTCATATTGCATACAGAAATGAAACTCAGAAGTGGCAGCTGATACTTCAAAAACCAGTGTAGCACATTGGTAAGGTATTCAATGCAGCAGTTTATAACCAGGTTACTAAACCATAATTACTGAGACTGAAGAAAAAAAAAGAAGAAGAAGAAAAAAAGAATCACAAAATGATCTAGAGAGGAAAATCTAATCCAGAAAAGGAAAGGAAAATCTAGTGGAAATATGATCTACACTAAATATACACAGCCAAATGAAAAAATATTATTTCAATTAAATGCTAAAACAAGCATTTAATCACTAGTACAAAAAAAAGAAACCTTTTTAGTTATATTTCACTGAGAACCATAAAGCAGAATATCTGTGCTTACTAAATATAGACTATGCTCACAGTGATTAATCCTAGAGGAGTTCATTTAAATTAATTGCAAAAACTTGCTGGACCTGTATCAAACTTAAAAACAGTCAATATTATTTAAGCTGAATTTACTTCAAATATAAAGATAAGCACTGACAAAAAGAGAAGTCTAAAGTTTAGCTTTCAATGTGCACTTACCAGAAACACCTTAAACTAAACTATAATGTTAAAAGCACGATCCAGCTAGCTCCATTAGGAGTCAGCCAAGCAATACAATATAATCAATTTGCCATTACCAGAGCAGCTATACTGCTTCGGATGCACTCCTGGGTTTACCTTGCAAATGGCAAATAGTTTACCTTTTCCTTTTCCAAAGGGTTGAGGAAGAGGTGGTACACAGAAGAAAGGGATTTAGGAAGACCACCTCCAAAATACAAAAGGAAGAAAGAAAGTCACAATTAATAGTTTATCCTCTACAAAGCAGAATACAGTGCAAATACTCTGGTAATAACAGATTGACAGCACCTAGTACTGCTCACACCTATCTAGGAAGAGAAAAAGCATCTTACAGTAGTTCTGTTAGAGAAGGCCCTTAGAATAAAAGAACCAAAATTAAAGACTACTAGAGGAACGCGAATAAAACTGAAGTTGCCTCAGCCTCTCAACACTAATGCGACTTCAACTTCCAATTTTGTAAACACTGTATAACCCGAATATATTTTACTGCAATATGCACTGTATTTATCAGGGCAAAAACAAATAATCAATCCCTGTCTTCAGTATTATATTGCAGTATTTTTTAAAGCTGTTGTCTGATCAGCTTCTTGCTGAGCCATGTTTTGTTAGCTTAACAGAAATAAATAAATAAATAGATTTAAGGCAGGCAAGCTATCTTGCAGTACTTAAGACATTCCTTCCTACAGTGAAAGCTGTTCGTTTTCTGAGCAAGCGATTTATAAATGAATTCCAAAACACATTTTCTTCTTTCTACCAAGAACATGACTAGCAAGTAGGGAAATGACTAAAGGGACGCAAATAATGACAGCACTATTTACATTAACTGCTGCAGGTCAAATAAACAACGCCCCCAAGTCCATCTCTGACGACAAGGCGCCAACCTGACTAACACAGGTTGGTCTGCCTTTCTTCCTCTGGGGAAGAGAGCAACGGAGGGAGGAAGGCAGGCGCTGGAGAGATGAAAGGGAAGACTCCACAGTAAAGCTGCTTTTGCAAACTATAGTCACACATTTGTAAAGTATATTTGGCCATAGTACAGCAACTGTTCTTGTGAATAAAATAATCCACTGTCACATACGGAAGTCCAGAGATTATTTTTTATCTTTGCAAATATGGTTTCTTTTTTAATCGTTCCTGCTCAAAACAAAATAACTGGTGAAAGACTTTGAAATATTTTGAATGACAACAGTAATCTTCCAGTTCACTTCATTAATATTAGAAAAGTATTTTCCAACTGCCAACACAAACAACTTACAAGTATGAGAGTTCTCAGTCTGCCTTATCATCATAACAGAGCGATTTCATCTTATTCATTCATGTCAGTACCTCTATATAAATTTAGCCCTTGTGGCTCTCTGGACCTTTAGTAAGAGAGTTATTTGTTTGCATAATCCCTTCTGGCCTCAAAGGGCATTTGAAAAGAGACAGCGAAGCAACAGGAGAAAACACAGTTGCATAACACCTTCTTCCGTTAAAGTTTAAATTCACTGTTAAATGAAGACAGTTATTAGTGCAATTTTATTTTCTTAATCTCATAAAGCTTTTTATAGTTACCAAAAAGTAGTACAAAACTTGCATGTGTCTTTTAGGGAGATGTGAATGAAATAAATAAAAGGCAAGAATAAAAGGTTGGCTTGTGCTCATTTTATTTAAAGCAATCTTTCTTGTGTTTGATCTGCATCACTGAATGGCTGAATGCAAACCCAGGAACTGCTGTGGATCTCTCAGCTATAGAACAGGCCTTTCTATTGCTTCCAAAAGCCAAACACTGTACACGAACTCCAAAAACATCTTTAATTTCTAATACTACCTCATCAATTCCCACAGAAAACAAGAGTGTGCAAAAATACCTCTGCTTAGTAATGCTAGCTATAGTTAGAGAGGTATGGAAATGAATCTTATGCAGCTCTTGCTCAGTTCTGTTAGAAAAATCACCCCTTTTTCAGCACTACAAACTAAAATTATTCTCCAAACAAGGAACTGGATAGATTTAAATTAAGATGTAAAATTTGTTCTCACCTAGCGTACCTTTAAATGCAATGAAATGCATGTGGCCTTTTTACTTATACTAAAGGGAGATATCCCCCAAACGAACCAGTAAATATTACCCTGTCTCTTGACTGCTTTTGATGGGCAAAACTGCCTTATATGAACTACACTTTATGAATTACGTCAAAAACTTGGACAAATATTTCATCGGTGAAGGATTTTTATACATTTTTAAATAAAAGATGTATTTTAACTTTATATTCTCTATGGAATCCTTGTGTTCTAGGTTGTATTTTTCAAGGTGCATTAGAGTTTTTGGCAAGATCTTTTTAAAACATTAAGATGATAACCAGAAAAAATACTTCGACAATAGTGCCAGCTGGATGTGTTAACGTTACTTTATCTTATGGAAGTTAACTGTGCTGTTTCCCTGAGGTAGTTGATATAAATTTGTCCTCTTTCATTACGACTGCTTAAAAATAACTGGAAATTCTTAATTTCAGTAAGGATTCTGCGCAAGAGTTCTTCTTAGAAGACTTATGTATTCAGGGTTATCATAAATATGTATTTGTCACATCAACCAGCAAAGGTCGATTTTTTTGCACTCTTCTTTTAATCTTTGTAAACACACAGGCCCAACTGAAACTTTTTCAGGGTTTGGTCAACCTTTCATTTGCTACTTGTTTGTTTGTGGCCACATGAAGCAAACTGCGTTTTTTTACAGGAGGAGACTGCTGGTTTTCAAGGAACCGCTACTGCATATCATAGTTTTGTCTGAAATTTCATTCTTAAGCAGCTAATTGTAAAAAAAGCAACTGCATCAGTTTGAACTAGCAAGCACTGGGAGTTGTACAGAGGTGGAAAGCGCTTAGTCTATCAAATGGTGTCTATCACAGTCTCTCCTCACTCTTTGAAACAATTTCTCTAAAGGCTTATTTTCCCTAATAGAAGGGTTGATGGATGTATAGTATTAGTCTCGAATACCAGTCTCTCCCCGTAAAGCCCATTAGAAGTCACACATTTTATTGGCTATTAAACAAGTTTTATTTAACTTATTGGCAAGCTGAGCAGCAGGCATGTTGTACATTTCTATTATCTCAAAAGCCCTTGGATTTCACAAAGAGAAATTTAAGGTACTTCATCAGAATTTGACTCTGTAATAGAAATGATTTAAAATTTATTTCATAAGGTGAGAAAACTAAGAGAACAGGTAGCTGACAGTTTCTTCTCATTGATGTTAACATCCAGAGAGAACACTGCTCTTCCCTGCAGGCATTTATTGTTAGGCCAGAAAAAAATCCAAACCAAAACATGATATTCATAACCATCTAGTACCTAAAGGTTTCTCTAGTATACAGTATTCTGATAGCTTATCAACATATTACAGGACAACTTGCTAAATTCCAGAATACTCTTTCAGCATTCCTTTAATTCAGCATTCCTTTAAGACACTCCCAAGAGGTCAAAGCTTTGATCTGTTAAAATAGATGGGTCTTTCACAAAAATCCCATTTTCAAGAAGTTGTTTCCATGTTCCAATTGAGTAATTCCTTCTTACTAGCCCTCAAGTTCCATAGACCATGACAGGTCCCCTTCTGCCACTGGAAGTTCAGCTAAGTAAGGCTGTCTCTGCCCACCTCAGACCGTACTGCCCACACACCCACTTCATCTGCTGAGCCTTGACTTTGCTTATACTTACAGATACTTCCTTGGAAACATCAGACTACCTTTCAGAACTCACTGGCCTATAATTTACAATGGAAAGTAAAATCATTAGGTTTCTTCTTACAAAGTGTTCTTTGATAGCACCAGTACTTTATTAAGCAAAGCATACAAAGTCACTGCAATGGGTTTCAGCAGAATCTTCAAGTTACAGAACTGGTGCCCTCACAGTGCAATATAAAGTCTTAATTCTGATTTTGGTTCTGTGCAGCTGCTCACCTGGAACCCGTGCATTTAGATATGCTAATAAGTTACTCCTAAAACCTGAGTCTTTTAGCAGAATGTATTCGCTTCCTTGGAAGCTCAACAATCATACTTGACTTCAGTGCTGCATTTCAGCGGATCCCACAGAAGAAAAATCAGTTTATTAACCCTAAAACAGAACCTAAGCTCACTAGCTCAATCACCACATCCAGAAACAGGACAAAGGACAGATTTCACAGGAAAATTCAGGTGAGGAAGAAAAGTTATCCTTTGGCCATCTACTAAACAGAAGAAAAGCACACACACACAACCAGCAGTAGTCACTCTGCTTGTTCCCCTCACATCTCTCCTTTTCCTTACTGTCATAACTACAAGAAGCACACATTTTATTGCAACAGCTTCAGTGTGAGCACTCTTTTTCCAATGGCAAATATAGGAAGTTTATCTTATCTGAATGCTCTGCCAATATCTGCTCAGATCTTTTCATATTTTGGCTGTGTTATTAATTAGTCCCATTTTCACCATTCATTTCACCTTTAAGCTACTTAGCTAATAAATGGCACTAGGAATAAATTCAAGAATTGTGTTCTTGTGGGAAACTGGGGAAGAGTCAAAAAGACTGCAAAAGTAGAAGACACAGGACACTGAAGTTTTTAGTGCAGACTGTGTAGCTGAAAGCTGTAAACAACTCAAGTCTTCCTTGTGTCAGGCACAAAAAGGGATGCAATGAAGTATGCTACTTGGCTACATCCTGTTATCTAAAATAAAGTTGAGGATATAAGTGTTTATTTTTCTACTGCTGCACCATTGTCACAACCCCATTTGAAAAATATATTTGAGTCCGCATCCAGATCAGCTTTCTCCCCAGATAAACTCTGTATATGCAGTGCTATTTTAGCCTTTAAGGTTACATAAGAAGTACATTGCCCTAAAATACTGCTGTAGTTGGTGACTTCTAGATAACAGTTATCTGTTTCTTAACAACAGCACCTTTATTACTAGGATTCTGTAACTGTCTCATTATGAAAATAAACACAGCATGGATTGAAGTGTGCAAATTGACTTCTTCAGTGTCACATCATTAACTTCTACATTTATTAATATTTTAAGAAAACAATCAACAACAGAATAAACTGTCTTCTGTATGTGTGGTCCAGCAGCATATAATTACATTTACTAAACAGAATTTAAACTGTATACTACTTACCCACAACTAATTACAGTATAATTCAGACCTAACTTATAGTACTATCGTAACATTTTAAAAATATCAATAAAAACCTAATACATAGCCCTAAATAAGAATACAAGACAAAGGGACAAGTCATCACAGTGACTCACTATGCTTTATTAGAAGTTTTCTGGATACAAATATTACCTTAACATAGGAAATTAGTCTATTTTCTCAGTATGAGATTAGTTTCTCAAGTCATTATTCTCCTCCTACAGTTTTCTCCTTTTTAAAAAAAAATAAAAATAAAGCACTAATGAGTTTGCTAGGAAGTACACTGTTCAAAGCATACAAAAACTTCCACAAGTAGTAATTCCGTGTTAAAGAATCACGTATATAGGCATATCTACATCTAATTACACTACAGAAAATGACTCTTCATTGTGACAGAGGATTATAATAGTTTGTTCATCCGACTAGTGAAAAGAATTAAACACACCTATGTGCTTCTTGCCCTAAAGAACTATAACAAGAATGTAGATAGGAGGCAAGTCTGGAACAACTGGGGAACAGACTGTCATAGGTGAAGCTGCTCAGAACTGCTTCAATATATGAAAACTGTGCACCCCAAGATCTGCTGATCTCCAAGTAGAAGATTAGACACAGCTTTATTCCATGAAATAACTCTATGCACGTAGAGATCTGATTTTTCCCAAAATAAACAGCCAGCTTTGTTTTCAATCCTAAAGCAAACAGAGCAAAACAAACACACAAAAAAAATCCCCACATTCTAAAGTAGAAAGTTTGACTTAAAACTCGGATTCACAGGACTTTTTGTAGTCTCCACAGATGTTCCAGAGACCAACAGACCACAGAAAGCAAGATGAGCTTATACTCAGGGCTGCATACTAACAAATAATGACCTGAGCTGTGATAGTCACCACTAAAACATAACTACTCTAGGATGGCATAATTTGTGGTTATCAGCAATTAGTAAGACAATTTGTTTGAATGTTTGAAACTGGCACCAGTATTGCTGAATAGGCAGAACAGGGCACAGAGTTTTTTAAGAACCTATTCCAGCCAACAACTGCCATTCACTCATCAGTGGAATATGTCCAGCACTTACCACAAAGGTGCTTATGGGCTTGTTGGATCCAAAGCAAACAGCAGAGCACACTCCCCAAGAGCTTATCTGTTATGCACCTCTCCTTTCCTACCCCAAACCTTATCAGCTGGTCCAGTAAAAGACTGTTTCTCCTTACAAACCTCACATCAACCTGGACTAGTGTTAGAACTCATTCACTTACTCCATTAGATACCCAAGGAGCTTCTAAGCCACATGAATTATGTCACAATAAAAACAGCTCCAGTGCACCACTATGAACCCCTTGAAAACTAAATAGATGTTTCCTCCCCTGCTCCCTCCAACATTTTGAGATAAAAGGAACAAGAACATCACACTGCAAAGTTACTCCTAAGTTGTAAGGCTTTAGACTCTGAACAACTTTTATTGAAGTTTTAAGGCAGCAACAGACAATTACAGACTAATCGAGGAGCAGGTTTTTCTGACCTCTGGCTAATAGTGAAGTAAGTGACATCCTACAGTCTAAAAGGAAAGATCATACTTGCTCTCCCATCCCACATTTCCACAAGTGGCTCTTGTAGGAGCTGGCTTTAAACTTTTGCGGAGCTAGAGTTTCTGGGTTTTTTATTTATATTTGAGGAGGGGTTTGTGCTCTGCTGGATTACAGTACATGCTAGACTCAGATCAGCAATGAGCACACAACTGAACTGCCGTTGAACTGACAAGTATGCATGATGGCTTGCACTAAACTTTATGATTTTCCTTTATAACTAATATTTACAGTATGATTTTACTAAGGTTGCTCAGTACTTGATCTGGCAAAAAAAAACTGTTGATACGAAGTTAGTCCCTCAATACATTTTGAACATATCCAAACCAGCATAGCAAATTTACACTGGATCAGCACTTTATGCTATATACACAAGATGCATGATGTTATTTTAACAGTCCTAAAGCTGGAGTTACTGTACTATGCAACCATGACCTCAAGGTAGCAAGGACTACAACTAGCAGCTAGTTTACTCAGTATTTTGGCTGGTGAGGTTAAACAATTTTCCTTGCTTATTCCCTGCAACTGATTCTCTACCTCAGCACTACCCTCCCTAGTTGTTCAGTTTATATGGTGCATGATGAATTCTATCAAGAATCAGACACAGATTAAAATCAAGTACTACTAAGAAAGTGTATTTTTAAGCCAGACTCATTCTTGCCAATCAGTTCGACATGTAGCCTTATGAACAGCTGCATTCAAAAAGCCACTGGGACTGCCTGAGCAGCACTACAGAAACCTAAGTTTGTAATAAAACACTCTTCAGCTAAACAGTTTAAACACACCGAGTGTATCTGACAAGATTTTAGCAAGTCAAAGCTGATCAGACAGGCATCAAAATGCAATCTGGTCCAGCATTTCTCAGCCTCTAGGGCCTTTCTCACTATCCATGAGACAACAGCAACGGTTCGCTCCCCCTTGTGCAGAGCAGCACTCTTTGAGGGCTCACAGAGCAAGTGTGAACTTGAGAGCCGAGAAGCTGTTCTTATGTATATGGAAAGTTCTGAAGCAGTAGTAACCCACATCCTCCTTCCAAGTAAAAGCCAAGCAAAGATAGACATAGAAAGCTTTAAAGACACCATCTTCCCATTTCAATAAAAATTCGCTGTATTAATTGATGTGTAAATAAGAAAAATCCAATTCTATTAAGTCTCTGTTACTGTAATCTGCAGAAACCTCAGATAATTTGTGAGCATTTTTTGTGCTGTGTAAGATAGAAGCACGAGTAGGACAGATCATTTTACAAAGAAAGCAGTGAAATCACATAGGTACCGTGAAAGTAGAAACACAAAAACCCCACTACACCATCAACTCTTTTGCCTCCTTGTACAAGAATCTAAAATATAATTTGCAAAAGAGGCAGAAAAAAACTACAATATTCCTGAAGAATCTGCTTTTAAAAATGTAAAAAACAAACAAACAAAGACATCAGCATATTTACCTGTTGTTTCTGATACGCAGTGTTCGGGTTAATTTTCGACTCCAAAAGAAGAGAACCTACAAGAAAAAATTCACTTATTTACATTTGTACTCCAGTTACAAATCTCAACATAAATATTCTGGTAATTCATCCAAGTATTAAAATAATTTTCCTCTGCAAACCACACAGAACGAAAGCCATATTCTACAGAGCTTCATATTTTATTTTTCTTCAAAATTATTGCTCAAATAGCAAATAACATTTAAAAATATTTTGGAGACTAGATTTTTAACCTCTTGTTCTTAGCAGATGACTTTTCAATAAGAAATTGTTAGAACTGATCAAACCAGCAAGTCACCGAAAATTCTACAAATATCTTCTGCAGGGCACTTACTGCTTTGTACAAAACGTGGTAATTGTACACCTCATAAAGCTAGGCTAAAAACACATATTTAGCTTATTAAAAAGCACATCAAGAAACTAATGCTGATTGTGGCAATCACTGTGACTGCGGATACCGAAAGCTTTAGATATGAGGAACTGAGGAAATGTGGTTTCATAGCAGCTTATACAAATTTAAGACTGCTACATCAGTTTCATTCCCACCTCTCTTTTCTTCACCTTATCACTTGTATAAGGACCTTGTATAAGCCCTTTGTGTTGATACACGTTTGGAATTGATCTAGCCAAAACAACCTTTAAAATTGCTTTTATTTTAGGGCAGATCACTCCCCTTACCCAAGCTTCCTGCTCAGCTGCACAAATACCAGTACATGAGCGGGACCCTGAAAGCTACAACTTCAACTTATGCCTCTGCAGAGCTTCACTCAAAACTTATGAGAAGAAAGAAAGAAAAAAAAAAGATAAATTAACTTATACAGTTGAAAAGATCGCAGGCATCCTTTAAGGAAGTGCTTTTCCATTAGTTTAAATTTAGTACAAATTCTTAGTTTCCCAACTTTGTAACTACTGTTTTTAAGGTGGTCTTATACTTACCAGAACATCTGACAAATTAGCTATGCTTAAATGTGGTCTTAAGTTCTTTGAAAAAGTGTGCATTAAAGAAAAATAAAAATGTGTAAACACCTCAAATAGAAAGGCCTGAGAATTCAAAGGCTTGACAAAAAATATAAATATTATATTTAAAAATCATATTTGGAACTGAAAATTGAAATTCCAAATCTCACAGCAGAATCACCTTGCTAAACTGATTATGAATAATGTTTCCAATCCCTTAAGGGTATATAAGTTATGAAATCCATAGCTAAAACTTCCCATACCAAAGTCTGCTTACTGAACGTCATCATAAGTGATCTCGTGACTTACACATCCCTTCCTGAAAAATGACTAACAGGACATGGTAGGTTGGGGGAGGAGAGGGAGAAAAAGGTTTACAAATCAGACCACAATGCTTCACTTGATGAAAGAGCACATCACTGAAGAACCACAAACATCAATACATTTCTCTCCCCATAGGGTAAAAAAAGCTATTCATGAATTTAGAATTTTAAAGAATTCAAATATTAAAAAGCTAACAATGCAAATACAATTGTAAAAGATCTAATTCATGCATTTGTAAACAATAACTTACCTGCAATGGCTACTTCTTCCTAATTCCTAAGCCTGTTGTTTACCAAAGGCAGCCTTCAGTAATGAAGCTGGTTTGAGAAGCTACCATCCTGTCTCACTGCTGCTCTTGTCATCAGAGCTGTTTACTAACTCCGATATAATCCAGCAATAAAAATGAGTTGTATAGATCCCTCCCCTCCCCGCAAAATCCCCCCAAAACACATACTCCTGTTTCTTTTTTAAAAATTTTACTTTTTAAAAAATTTGCATCACTTAAGCAAGTAACTGCTTTGCTAACAGAGCTGAACTATGTGATAACTTAACAAAAATAAACTAGAGAACAGGACTGCAGAAGGAATGAGAACTCCTAACCAAACTTTGTTGATGAGGCCAATGCACTATGGTTCTTAAGCCATGGTTTCCAAGATTAGTGTTCTGAATTTGCCAAGTGAACTTCTAGAAACAACATTCCCCTTTCTAACTATCAATTATAGACCATAAGCAATTTACTGTGTTCTTACTTTCACTTTCAAAACAGCAGCTTCACCTACATGAAGTTTTACAATGTAATTTAGTGCTATTAAATTTTTTGATCAACTTCTATTAAGTCTTTACTGTCCAGAAATATTTAATAGCAGAAAGTATAAAACAGTACCTCATAAACATTAAAAACTATTGATAATTTCAACATTTTTCAATTTAACTACTGAACAAAGACCTACAGACATGGAAATTCTTAAACAAGAAATTAGGAGAATATCATTAATACTATTGTCAGATATGGCATTCAAGTTTTAAGAAATGGAAAACATCCAAACATGGACAGTATATGGACAACACATCTTCCAATCTAGAGGTAGACACTAGGGGATGACATCTTTACTAGACTTAAAAGGTCATTAAGTCATTCCTTCCCTTCTGATCCTGATGTCTGCACTAAAGCCAAATAAAATCTCTTTAGGCTTGAGCTGCTTCCTGACACATGATTCAACATATTCCTCACCATTCGGGACAATAATTACAAGACAATATGAATCCAGAGACAGAGAAATGCACTGAAACATAAACTGTGCTCTGTTAACAAGCTGATACACTGTTTGTGCAGAGCATGTCCCCCACTAAGGGTTCAACAACTCAGACTGTTACTAGAAATTGGTGACTATTTGAGTAGTTAGTTCAGTGAGTTTATTTTCATAAGAAGAGCAGGACCTTCTGTGGTAAGAACCAGTCCTGAGTTGCTGTTAACATGCTTCTAGGAACCGGGCAACAGTAAGAGATGTCTCTAACACAAATATGTTATTTAGAAAAAGGTTACAGATATGTAATATACCTCAAATAAAGCCCTTGGACACTTGTAGTCAACATTAGCATTGATTTCTGAATACAAACAAATCAAGATATTTGTTCTTTTGTCACAAACAATCGTTTCCTATATTCCTATTTGACTCTTGGTACTGTCTTAGAAAACATTAAGATTATGCAGCCTTTTTAAATATACACAATAGAATTTCATGTTCCTTGGCTCTATTCAAAAATCACATAAAACCCCAAACCCACCTACACTCAAACTTTGTTTTCAATAAGCCAAAGAAATATGCAGATCTAGTTATTTCCCTAATTATAACCTGAAATGAATGTTTTCTGAAAAGGGGAAATATATATATATATATATAGCTTATTTCTCACTTCCCCTCAGAGTAGACATTTCTCATGCTTAAAATCAAAACTTTGATCCACGAGAGCGGTTTGCAAGAAACGGACAAAGGTTAAATGAAGTGATGTCCTTTCCTGCATTCCTTTCTTGGCCTATAGTTCTTTTAAAGTCTCACGCGTTTCCATAAAAGACTTGTTTCAACGTCTCCTTTTGCCAGTTCAGTTGCTTCCCAAGGAAGTCCTTGTCACATTCTAGCTTAGGGTCACACTTAGGCTTAGGGCATGGTACTAAAGCATTAGGATTTAAAAAAAAAAAAAAAACCCACACCTTTCAGGAAAACCATGACACCCCCAGGCATGCGTCAACAACTTCTATATAATCTTTAGCTTTTCTTAAAAAAAAAAAAGAAAAAAAAAGAATTAATCCTTGGAGTGTAAGCAAGGGAAAGCCAACCTAAACCAAATTCTCGTAATTCTTCCATCATTACTATGGTATTACTGATACCAAGCATGAAGACACAAGATAGACACCACCCAACATGGAAGTGTCATAAAAGTCACCAAAATAAAGGTGTTAAAAGGGGGCAAACCAGGACTTCTCAATATCAGTGACTAGACATTGCCTAAAGATGACTAGGTGGCAGGGCCTCCAATGGGGGAGTTCAATTTTGGCCTGTCAAAAAGTTTAGTCAAAAGACTGTATGCATTTATTTGAACGCTTAGACTTTTAACAAATAAGTTAGTTGCACAAAAAAAGAGTTCATTTTAGGGGCCCCTTCAGTCACTCTTGGAAGAAAAACAAAACGATGTGAAAACAGACACGAAAAATATAAAAGCACAAAGTGTTTTTTGAGAATGAGACAAGCCAGAGTAGTCTCATATCATATGAAAAAAATAAGAAATAAAAGGCTCCTGATAATACACAAACTCATACAGAAGTCAGTCATTTGTTAGGAAAAAAAAAAATTCACAACTGCACTTCAGCCAGTAGAACACACTGCAAATGGCAAACACATGGAGATCTTTGAAAGTCTTGCATTAAGAAAAAAAGCCATGTAAGTGTAGAAAATGCAAGTTTCTGTTTGAAAGCATAATATAACTGATCTGAAAACAGTTTTGAAGATATTTTCTATGATAACAGATCACTCCAAATTCCTTGCAATGACTCAAAGCTTAGTAACAGGGAACATTAAAAGCATACCAGATAAGAACACAAATCACTTACTGGCTCTAAATTCTTTCATTTTAAGCATGTGTTATAGCAAACAAACAAACCCCATCAGCAACAACAACCACCTACATTTAACAGCAGAGTAGAATCTTTTTTTTTTTTTTTAAATTGTTCTCAATCATGATAGCTTACCTTGAACTTGCAAAAAGTCACTCCAGCTCCCTTATCTAAACACCCCAACCCTGCCATATAAACTCAGCTGTTTGTAAAGCAGCCATTGCACCATGGCGGGTTACAGCTTGGCAATTAAAATGACAGAACTACAAGCTAGTGCACACAGAAAGGCAAACAAACTGCAACACTTGTGCTGCTGCTCTGTGCCCAGCTGAGGCAGGCCTTTAGCAAGAGGGGAATTTCCAAGACTCTGAGGGGAAGCATTTCTGACATCCCCCACCACTTTCTGTACTCAGGAAACAAGAGCCCTGGGCTCTATGCAGTCCCCAAAGTTTTCAGTCCGCTTCCTGAAGTAAATCAACAAGAACATGCCAATAAGCACAGCATGGATCTCAGGTCAAACCTGAGGAAAAAATAGTTTAGAAAAGGAGGAAGGAAAAATTGCTGGTGTGAAAAGAGGAGGAACTGACAAATAAAAAACTAAGAACCAAATGGGAACATGGAAGAAAGTGAACACAAAAAGAACACAAGTCTTTTTTCAAATAATTTGCCTACGTTTGTAAGATGACCACACGTGCCTTCAAAATCAGCAAAACAATTAACATAGAGTAAATGAAATAAAAAAAAATCAAGCATTAGGAGGTGTTTATAAAAGCACATTTGAAAAGCTATGCTTATTAATACAGCACACATTTGCCCAAGACTGATACTACCTACTAAATTAAGAATTTTAGCTCCATACACTATTCAATACTGTTGAAGAAGCACATGCTGTTTGAGAAAAGGCTAATGTTCTATGTACCCATTTGATGTATTAGCTGCTGTTATTAAGTTAGAGCACCTTTGGCTTTATTATTTTAGAGTGTTTTATCTGTGCAACACAAAGTAATGAGCTCAGGTTTGTTCTGAGATCACTTACACCATTTTTATATACATATACATACACACACACGCACACATATGTTTGTGTGTGTATATACACACATGCACATATATATGTATTTGTGACCAAACTCACATTTTTATTTGAATGAAATGGACAATTTCTTGAAAATGGAGTTGCTGACTGCAGTACTTTTGCCTCTTATGTTAAAAAAAAAAAAAGTTGAAAACTTGGTTAGAATATAAAAAACAGAACACGACAGTTTTTAAACATTAGCTAAAAAAGTCTCCTGAGCACAGCAGTCCCATAGACAGCAAGACTGTCTCTACTGCAAAATAAACTTAAACACAGGATTAGCTTAAAAGTTTAGTGACAACCTTCCTCCTCTTAACCTCCCTCATTCATGTTGAAATTAAACTAAGCCTACTTCCATTTTAAGTGTTTTCTCTTACACTGGGAAATTGGTTAAAACGAGATAAAGAACATGACTTATTTACTAAACACAATTTAAAACAAAAAGTTGAATTTAGGACTTCAACAAGTAATTAGCAAACTACAAAATCCTGATATTCAAGCTTATGAGAAGCTCAATTATCAAAATGCTGCTCAGATGCAAATTTGGTTACTCCATATCAGCTCACGATCTCTTCACTGCAGACACAGCTTGTACAGCTTGTCAGAACTTTCTCAGTGAGAATTAATGATTTTAGAACTGCTTTATGTCCCGCTTGCTATAATGAGAAAGCCAAATAAAAATATTAGATGTTCTCTGGCCAGAAACAAGCCACAGCTACAGCTGTAAGACACTAAATAGAATGGTTATATATTTAATGGAGGAGTAGTCATGCTTTGACAGTCTTTACTAGTCAAAACACAAAAGGTATTGAAAGACATACTCTTTAAAATCCATTCTGACCACAGCAGTCAAGAGCTCATTTACCCAATAATCAAAACTAGTCCAAATATGTAGCTATAGGGGAAGATACTACTACTGCTTAAACGGCAGTATAATTTGTTAAAAAAAAAAGAAAGAAAGAAAAGAAAGAAACAAAAAAAGAAAAAAAAAAGAAAAGGGGAAGTTGATAATGCATCAACGCATCATTGGAAGTCTACTTACAAGCAGATTCAAAACTCAAGGACTCAGAAATACTACCTCAGGAAAAAAAAAAAAAAAAAAACTATAAAAACGCTGTTCTGTCCATTGTATTGTCTCTACTGCTAAAGGTGCACACTGATAATTACTGTTAGCTTAGTGTCCTGTATAATCTTACTACTAAAGAAAATAATAAGAAAAATATATATTAGCCTTCTAACTATCCAATGACTTCTTTTTCTAGTCACTCTATAAGTGGTTGAAGTTTCAAGCAACTCCTTTCATGAGGGAATTGCTTCCAGAAACATCTAAGGAAGCATTCACAACGATCAGTTTGGGCCTAGAGCAGGTCTGGTACCTAAGGACACTAAATTTTGCGCAAGACTCACAACAAGACTCAAATATATTCTGTAGGCAGCACTGTGTATTCACTATGAACCAAGTAAGTGCCTCTACTACAGTGTTTGCACTTGATGGCAATCTTCCATTTCTTTCTCTTGGCCTAACAAGCACAAACCATGGCTAATGCCTCCTTGCTTTCAGGAATTATGTTTTAACCATGCAGCAAAACGTTAAGGCAAGAGACAACAAAGCCAACCCCTGCTCCTCTCCTTGCGTGGGAGGAGAGGCTCGGCCACCTTCACACACACACACACGCTTACCATCGCTCTCTGCCCTGACA